CTGCTGATCCCCACAGATGCTTTTCGAACGTCATAAGTGGCTGAATGTTGGACCAACCCCTCTCCTCCAGCTCAGCCACACTGGCACCCCAACCTCGCATCTCACCCATGCTTCGTGTCGCAATAGCCGCTCGCCTCGCAGACCTTTCACATCTCATTCATGACCTTGAACCCAGGCGACTGATGGAGATGACATCTTAGAGCAATCAAGTCAGCAGGATACCATGCTCTAGAGACACTGCGATATTTCTTGGTGACGTCTGCAACTTCTCCGCACCTCACTGCTGTCATGCTCCAAGGGACCAGAAGTTGATGACGCTGAACGACCAACTGCACTCATCACCATGCCACCATTTCCCGGGGAAGAGACGCTAACTACTGTGTAAGTAATATGTAGGCCGATGCCTACGACTATGCTTGACTGTGGTCTAATTCTGACCTTGCTCCTCAGATATGTCGACCTCCACTCTTACTTTACGGCGCCCTCCCCTCGCCCGGCTCTTCATCGCTTCGATAAAGCCTCCTATTTCTACGTCTACTACAATTCTACGAGACATACAAGTCGGATCGAGGCCGCGATCAATCCTGGCACGGCAGATCAGACGGCCTTTCATGGCTTCCTCGAGGGTGTCAAGGTGATCAACTCCCACAAATTCCCGACGAGGGTAACAATCGTCGTCGATGGAGACAATGCAGCGGCCACTTCTCCATCGTCCCCCCGTTCAGGAAGAGACCCAGAAGAATGGCGTCTAGCCAGTTCAGATCCCCGGGATCCTGGCACGTCCAAATACAGGATACACACAATCGATGCTTATTTCTGGAATCAGGATGATTCCAAGTTGGTATTGAACATTTTCAAGAAGCTGCTTCAGCCGCATCAGTTGGACATTGAGGATGATGTGCGTGACGAATCCGATCACCATGATATGGTCAGCCCAGTGGTTCAAAATCTAGAGCATGTGGCCATATCCGACCCGGCATATAAGGAAGTACAACATGATTCTCCCGCAGTCCAGCACAGCCATCCTGTCCAGCTCCCCCCTCCTCCACCGCCCCCTGCTGTCTCTCAGGCTGCTGCGGCCGGTTCTGGAGCATCAGCCTCGCCAATTTCGGTCAATAACAGCATCGGTGGGAGATCCTCACTTAAAGAAACGAAACCGGCCATGGACTATACGCCCCTCGCGTACAACCCTGCAGCGCCAGCGGCTCCGGAACCTATCGCCCATCGAGAGGACACCCCTCCTCCGGTCGACGCTGTCGACGGAACGGGGCTTGCTGCGGCAGCAAGGCGTGATAATCCTTATGCCTCTCAGCAGCACCCACAAGCTTTTGGCAATCCCTCAACTGCTCAACCGGGGGGTTATGGACATTACGGTGCTGCACCGCAGCCGTCTTTCGGACCACCTGGCACTGTTTCGCCTGTACCATCCTTTGGACCTCAAGCACCGGCAACCGTATCACAATCCTTTGGACCACACGCAGGTTCACCCCCACTTCAGGCGTCTCCGCGTACATCTGTTTCGACAAATTTTGCCCCGCCTCCCACCAGCGCAAGTACTGACAGCAGTCGTCACCCTTCAATAGCTGCTCAGACGTATGTGCCTCAAGGGCAGGACCCAAATGCACACATTTTTGGCCAACAAAATGTGCAAACGCCGGGTACACAATTCTACCAGTCAATTAATGGTCAACCCCACAAACCGCTGCAGCATGTGCAGCCACAGTACCCGGACTATCTAGCCGCTGGTCAACCTCCCGCGCCAGCGCCAGTTCCGGCTCCGCCTCTCGGAGGGTACTCGACGTACAACTATGGACAGGCACAGCAACCCCAGCCAGCGGCGGGAGCTTACGACATACACTCTCAAGTCTATAGGCCGACGGAGGCGGAGCACCACACACACCATCACAAGCCACCCAAGCCCTCAAGTTCTCAGCACAAGCCATCACATGCAGAGAAGATTGAGAAGGGCGTTGGCAAGTGGATCAAGAAAATTGAGAAGAACTTTGGGTGAGGAGAGAAACAAACGAGATTGGGTTGGGATATTTTGGACAAGGAGGGTTTCATTTCTGGTGCGTTGCTGTAATCTTAGCAAGCGTGACGAGGCTCAATGAACCATGTGTTGAATTTCTCTCCGGCCAAGCGCAAATGCTTTTCCGTCCACTACCTATATTTGTGTTGACACGGTCAAAGAGATTTTGGGCATATGCCCGTCCCTGCCTTTTTTATACCTTTTCTGCACGTGAAGGAGCGCGGATAGCAGAGCGCTTCAACGGCCACGGCACTCCCACCCCACTGCAGAAGCAGCAACACCGAACTCGGAGAACGAGATGTGATCGATCACTCGGGAGATGCGTTCATCGCATCCGGGCGGTAGCCCTTTTGAGTCTCGAATCGAGGAATTCATTGCAAATCTTCGGGAACGAGGGCGATTCTGCTCTTGATTTTCCCGGCGTGCAGATCGGCCAGGATCCGGGGGAAGTCTGCCATGCTCCCCGTTTCGACCTGGGGGGTGATGACGCCGTTGGCAATTAGGTCTAGACACGCGACGAGGTCGTCCGTGGTCCCGCCGTAGCTGCACAGGATATCGAGTTGTTTACGCACCGCGACCAACGAGGGCAGAGTCAGCTCGCCGTGGAGCAGGCCGACCAGGACGACGGTCCCTGCCTTGCGGACTAGAGAGTGTTTCGATCAGATCAGTGAGTTCACTGGCAGAAAAGGGGGTAGGGGGGCGAATGAGATATGAGGTATGAGGGGCCATTAGGAGGAACTCACCGCTCTCGATGGCGGCCTTGAAGGTGTCGGGAACTCCAACAAAGTCGATGGCAGAGTCCACCACCAGCGACTTGTTAGTCACCCACTCGCTGACGCTAAGGGTTTCCACAGGCACGACGTCTTCACTCTTCACCCCGAATTTCACCGCTGCGTCCAACACCTCCCGTCTCTTGTCCACGACGATGATCCTTGCGCCAATGTTCACAATCATCTGCAGTGCGTTGAAGCCCAGCCCGCCGAGCCCGAACAGCAAGACCGTGTCTCCTTTCTTGACCTTGGCCCTCCGCGCGATGGCCTGATAGGCCGTCATGCACGCATCGGTGGCCACAGCCCCGGCAGCCGCACTGACGCCCGAGGGGAGCTTGATTGCGGCGCGCTCGTGGATGGCGACGTACGGGGCAAAGGAGCCGTCGTGGCCGATTCCGTAGTTTTGTCCACCGGTGCAGATCTGGGGGACTCCGCCAGAACATTCTCGACAGGTGGCTTTGCCGCAACCGGGCACGGACAAGATGGACACCATCTCGCCGGGTTTGAATTTTGTGACATTTGCTCCAACGGATACGACCTCTCCGCAACCTTCGTGGCCCTTTTTGTTGGGAGGAAATCTAGACTCAGCCATCCGAGTGGGTGAGAGACAAAAAAAGGGGGGCAAAGACGGGAATATGCAGCAGAAAGTTCGCTATGATGTTGGTGCAGTAGAAGCGGGGGAGGAGGCATATCTTGCACCCTTACCAATGTATACTTGTCAAGATAATGAGCCGGCTTGGTGGCCATGTTCAACAATGCGAAGTCGCTGTGGCAGACTGTGGAAGCACATGCGTCAGCCAGCTATCGCATCCACTCTATGTCTCAAAGCCCCTCGTATATCATCCGTCGATATTGATAGAGATCTTGATGAAAACAACGGTCGGACCCATTCTCACCTCCCGCAGCATGGATCTTGACCAGGAGGCCATCCTCAGCCGGCGCAGGCACAGACACCTCGACACGGATCTATTTCGTCTCTCTATCTTGTCAGTACTGTGTATGTGCATGGGTATGACAGCTGGAGCAGACTTGATCAAGAAACTCGGGATATGTCCTCCCCCAAGGGTCCAGACTTGAGACATCGATAGATGGACAGATAACGTGGAAGGGGAAAGCGGAACAAAAGAACGGGCAACAACAGACCGGCTCGGTGCTGCCGAAATGCTTCTGCCACGCCAGCATTGTCTTTGGGATTTCTTTGGCCGACATGTTTTCTTTTTTTGGTCGTGCTCGGTTCTTTGTGTACGAGTGACGGCAAGACGTGCCCAAACCTAGCTACCTACTTCCGTAGACACAAGTAACAACGACAAGCGTGGGGAGTTTAATTAATCTCAACTCGCAACGACTTTCGATACTCGTCCCTCACCCACGAGAACGAACGAGCGAACATGGCAAATGGACAGCCGAGAGTCTGAGTACCTAATGTTCATATACTCTCCCGCTCGCCGCCGAGCCCGGACGTACCGAGGCCTTGGTTGCGATACAGTACTAGAGTACATAATAGCGTGCAGTGCATATGGACCGTCTGACTGTACCAAGTATTATGAGGGTTGGAGAATAACCTTATCCTCTCTTGGCGCTAGAGATTATCGAGGTACATGGAGTGGCTTGTGGCATATACTGCAAAGTAACAACGGTAGATGCGAATAGGAATTGGTATAAGTTTGGTGTCAAGAATCAAGATCATCTGTATGAAAAATGATAGGCGGCAATGTCCGATGCCTGTAAGCTGTTTCGTTTATACTTCGATCTACCGATGAAGGTATAGATTTTCATGTACCTCGCATATATGTACCGAGTACTCGGGGAAAGAAACACTATGAAGCAGTAGGTAGCGAGCCGATCTCAACCACGGTCTGACCAGAAATAGCGATCAGGAGCGATTCACTGATAACTCAAAGGTGGCCATTGTTAGGCCTGACGGCACCCCTATCCTTATCAATCAACCCAGAACATATAAGAGGGGAGAATCAAGGAAACCCCTCCCGTCTTACAATATATATGTCTTTCATTCCGCCGAGGCAGACAGGACTACCTAACCCATTCTACAGCCTTCAGTGACCGTGTCAGCCAATTTCGTCTCAGGGAGTACCTGGTATGTAATGCGTCGGCGGCCAAACCACCTATTCCCATGTGTGCCCGTGCTACTCCCTCAGCTTTCCTCAGCCCCCGAGCTGGTCATTAGTCGGAAGAGAGACTCATTACAGGTACCTCTCTATGACTCCCGGCTGGAGTAAGCCGCTCCCAATCATCGATCCTGGCCAACTAAACCATGCCTTGCTCGTACACTCCCCCGAGTGACTGTCTACTGCTTCCGAAAATGTCCCATCCCACAACATGACCCCACGGATTTGTTCCCATGCGGCAGCTTCTTGCTGGTTATTGCCCATCATCTGAGCATATTTCCACTGCTGGAAATATCCTAGTGTCCACGGCCCGGGCGTGTGAACGCTCCCTAGTCCTCCAAAAGCTCCGTCCCCATAGTATCCTCCATCATTCGCCGGCGTGAACGCAAATTCCATGGTGTTGTGCCATGCCTGCTTCTCATTGCTGGTCCTGGTGAAACCCCATATCGGAGCAAAAAGCGTTGGCAGGTCATTGGCATCATGGTAAAACGTTCGTTGACCAAATCCGTCCACCAGATACGAGAAGGACGGCGAGTCTGGCAATGGATCAGAGGCGAGAAAGTGCTTCAACGTCGCGTCACGCACATCTTCGGCAAGACGTGCGAGTTGCTGCCCCAACGGAGCGCCCGTTACCTGGGTAATCACTTTCGCAAGCCGAGACAGCGTGTGCCATAATAAGACGTGACTCGAGAAATGGAACGGATATTCTACCAGGTCATCACCTGGAGTCTCGTCTGTCGGGAAGAGTCCAGTCAAAGGATCTCTCTTTGACTCAAGGAGGTCCAGGACCTGAGACACGGCATCTGACGCCAGAATTTCTTCCACAAATGGCTGCTCTCCTGGAAAGGTCTCCCAGAAGTCGCAGACCTCCAGGAGCGGATAGCACTGTTGGTCCAGCTGAAAGACCGGCCCATCCTTGGGACGGCCTGTAGTGAGATATGATCGATGCCAGAAGTGGTGAGGTCGTTGTGCGTGCCGAAAGATCCAAGCCAGATGTCCCTTTGTCGTGGCCCTGATCTCCTCGGAGTAGGCGGCGCAGGTCTTACCAATTGATAACCTATCAAGGTTCCGATATACTTGGGTCAAGAATTGAATCTGCCAACTTTTCCATGTTAGCAGCGTCCACCAGGACTCGCTGATACTTACTAGTTGTCCCTCATCCAACCGAGCGGTAAAGCGACATGATCTGTGAGGAGGCAAACGGCATGCTTGGAAGGTGACAGCGGGACCGTGCAATTACCGAGAATGTACTCGAGATTTCGGCGGACAATGAATCTGCTGGTGGTTTCTTGATCCCGCCAGAGCAACGGCAATCCGAGGGCAGGCGAGGTTTCCGCGTTGCGAGATTTCCCACAACCTGTTCCCGATTGCAAGGCAAACTTTGCCGTCAGCGTCCTCGATCCTCGTGGTGGAATATCCAAAGTCTGAGAATATGCTCCTTTTACGGGCGAGTTCACAAAAGTGGTTTCTTGAACAGCCCTGTGCATGTCGACCCTTGGACCACCACTTTCAAGACTTCCTTGGAGTTGTGCATCAAGAGGGACGTTGACAACCAGGAAACTCTTTCCAAAGTCGGCGAAACTGAATTTGTTTTCTGACTTGGGCATGGGGATCGGTCCACCTTCGGTAAGTTGCCCATACTGCTCCAGTGTTAGCATTGGTAAGCTTCTTCAAGTACGCAAGAACCTTGGAAGACCTGGAGGGTTCGAGCCACGACGCCATAAATAGTGCGAATACGTACCGATGCCCGGTTCACGCTGATGCTGAAGTCCATGGTGAATCTCAAAAGGGTCGGACAGTCACTAGAAGACGAAACCTCCGAAGATTGAATGACTTCTCCATTCTCGTTGACACGCAAAGACGTTGTTATGGCAAGTCCTTCAACTGTGCGGAAAGATATTGTTGCTCGTCCCAACCCGTCCAGCGTTATCTTCGTGTCGTGGGCCTCGACGTCGAAACGCAACCCAAACCCTGGCGTTCCCGTCTTGATGGACTTGAGCATTCGGGCTCGGTACTCTCGCACGTACGGGGTGTCTCTGAACCTGGTCCCATCGAACTGTCCGTAGGGCTCGGCGAGAACAATACCATGTTTGGGATGGAAAGCGCTTATTTGCAAAATCTAGTAGCAATGTCAGCTTTCGTCCTTGTTAACCAAGACTATATCAATACCGTCCCGCGAAAGTCAGCCGACACTGAAACACCATTGAAACCTATGTCGAGGGTCTTTGATCGCTTCTCGGTATTTCTGAAGTCAAACACCATGATGTCCGATGTCTCTCTCTCTCTCCCAAAGTGTCTGATTGTCACTAAGTTGGCTCGACCCTGGTACCCACCCCAGCAGCCGAGACCCTTGGTATTTATGAAAGGGACATTGCGGAAATGGAGCATCTTGAACCATTCCCATCAAGGCGATATGCCGTCCATCGACTTGCGCCATCACGGGTACTCTACCCGCATATTTGAGGCTGGCCTCCTCATCCCGCCACTCGAGGCAAATCCATCTCCCCGCACAATTGAAATGTCAAAGATAAGTGGCACAGTCTAACGAGAAATAGCCATGAGGAGCGATTCACTATTAACATAAAGGTAATGATCATTAGGTATAACAGTCCCTCGATCCCTATCCATAGTATTATCTATCTCTGATCTGACGGCCGCCTCATCACTATTGAGTAACAACCTAATGTCCGAGAGGGCGACTACTCGCTGTCTATCGGACTTTGCCATTCACCTACAATACTTGGACATTACTCTCCTCACCTTAGCGTTCTCCATATTGTGATCGACATTAGCCAAGAGACGGCAGATCATACGGCTACCGTACCCGCCTACGGAGTTCGCCCTCTTGCCTATGGGTATGGTATAAAAGCTCGGCAACTTGCCTCACTTGGAGAGACATGTATGATTTTGTTTGATTACATTCGGAAGTTGCGAATTCTCGTTGAATTAATGGTTCTGCAAATGACTGAAAAACAACTGTCAGACCATGTCGAGACGGGTTGGTCTCCAGTCGAGCCCGAGCCTCAAGGGAGCGGCGGAAATGTGCCTGCTGGCCACATCCCCGTGACAAATGAAGAGAAAGCATTGAATCGAGCGTTAAACTACAAGATCGACACAATCCTTCTTCCATTTTTATCTCTGATATACGTTTTTAACAGTTTGGATCGAGGTAACGTTGGAAATGCCGAAACGCAAGGTATGTCCAGATCACCACTAGTCATATAAAACTCCTCTTAACCCGTCAGTCCAGGCTTTACCAAGGACATTGGAGCTCAGCCAGACGACCTCAACCTGGCAGTCAGCTTGTTCTTCATCACCTTTGTGCTGTTCCAACCTCCCTCCGCCGCCGTCGGAAGGTACCTGGGAGCGAAGAACTGGGTACCGATCATTATGTTTTGCTGGGGCATCCTCACCATTTGCCAGGCTTTTATCAAGGGACGAGGTTTGATGAAAGCGACCTCTTAGCGCGCCGAGGAAATATTAACCCTGCTGCTAGCTACGCTGATTGCGACACGACTACTCATTGGCCTTTTTGTAAGTGTCTTTCTTCGGTCTCTTAGAACTGGTGTTTGGAGAAAGACTGGAACAGACTCTGTTCCTCGAAAGACGAAATTCCTGCTAACGCTAGAGCAGGAGGCAGGATTTTATCCTTGCTGTATGTGTCAAGTCCTCCCGCCCCATCCGCGATCATCTCAACGAGCTGCGAAGAATTCATCATGTTACTTGCGCAACACTGACTTTGCCCGCGCAACTTAGGTGTTTTCTACTTGTCGACGTTCTATACCCGTTTCGACCTCGCCGTCCGCCTTGGACTCTTCTACGGACAATATGCTGTCGCTGGTGCCTTCTCCGGTTGCATTGGTAAGTAAGAACCCCACGGCTATGTTCAAGGTGAGAAAGGTTGTTGACACGATTGGAAGCGTACGGAATTTTCCACATCAAGACCGGCTCGCTCAAGAACTGGCAATACCTCTTCATCATCGAAGGTGGTGCTACATGTCTCATTGCCATCGTTGCATGGTTTTGGATGCCCCTCGGACCGGGAAGTGCGTGGTTTCTCAAAGACAAGGATCGGGCATACGCGGTGGAGCGTATCCGTCTGGACAACGCCATGTATTCGCAACATACCTACGGCGACAGCGGTGTCGAGAAGGAGAGGTTGACGAGGCGCGATGTGGTTGAGACGGCAAAGGACTGGAAGCTTTGGTATGTGCTGTTCTTCAACATCCTAGCTAGCGTACCCGGGCAGGCATTCTCCGTATTTCTCCCTCTTGTTGTTGCTGGGCTGGGATATTCCTCCATTGAGGCGAACTTGGTGAGTGGATGTTACCCCCGGGTGTGCAAGAAAGATCCTGACTCAAGCAGATGTCTGTGCCGCCATATCTTTGTGGAGCAGTCGGGTTGTACATTTTCGCCGTCAGTTCGGATCGCAGGTAAGCCATTGCTCTGGTTGATTTGCCTAACACATTGCCAACACTCGTGACTTAAAGGAAGGAACGCGGCTATCACATATTTGTCGGTCTCTTGATCACCCTCGTCGGGCTCATCATCACGGTGACTGTCGAGCGACACGGCGGCAAGTATGCTGGCTTGTGCATCTTGCTGTTTGGCAGTTATATCTCGGCACCATTGACCGTGGCCTGGCTGAGCGGCAACACTCCTGGTAAGTGTGTCCAAGTCCCTCCTCCCCTCCTTCTCTCCAATATCTGAGCAGTTTTGGCCAATACGAGTTTCTAGAACCCGGGAAGAGAGCACTCGTCCTGGGCGTCAATGGATTTGGAAATCTGTCCGGGGTCATCGGGGCACAAATCTTCCGGGCATCCTATGCGCCAAAGTACCTGGTGTAAGTCAAACTCCCATGGCGGACTATTGCTGCTTTCGATAAAGAGGACACGACGACTTAAACTTTTCCAATAGGCCGTTTTATATAACACTGGCATTCATCGCCGTCGCGCTGGCCGGATACCTTTCATACCGTTTCACGTTGGCAGCGGTGAACAGGCGAAGGCAGGCTAAAGTGGCAGCCATGACCCCCGAGGAGTTCGAAGACGAGAAGACCACACCTCTGAGATATGCGGACAAGAAGTATACCTTTATCTACGGCCTGTGAGGTCTTGCCGGGTGTTAGGTTTGATTGCGACACCTCATATTCGAAGCCTTCACTGTCAATTCTGCGGGAGCGCACTACACTTTGCTTTTTGCGTGCTTCAGTTTTGTTAGAAGTTGGGAGTTTCTTGGTCTCCGAGCGCTAGAACGGAACTGCTTCGTCGCAGGCATATGACATTAGCCATGTCTATTCTGGCGCCCGCGTCATCGCTATTGAGTAACTACCCAAATTCCGAGCGGGCGTCTACTATCTGTCAAACTGTGCCATTTTTTATTTTCTCACAAAGGCTCGTCGTGCGTGCAGCGACTATTTTCTGCCTAAAGCAAACTTGAACTATTCCCGGTTACGAACGAGTCAGCGGCGCAGGGGAGGAGATTAAAGGGGCCCGGTAGACCTTCCCCGAATAGACTTGCACCAACTCCGCCTTTTCTTTAGCCTCGTCGTCTTCTCTTCCCCAGATTTTGGGGAAACTCTGTGTTGGTCTGAAGGACTCGGTAGTTGTGTGCTACAACATCCCCTCCACAGGTGATCTGTCATATGGAACGTCGACCTGTCAACCCGCGGCGGCATAAAATTGCACCGGAGCTACGGAAAAGAGTTGTTCAAGCGTGAGAGGCTTCCCTATCCTTGCATTGCTTGCATGCTTTGAATACTTACTCTCTTCACGTTGACTCAAAGATGCAATAATTGCAATATCAAACGTGCCAAGTGCTCCGGAGGCCAACCCTGCGAAAGATGCCGCAAATCGTCGCGTGAGTGTTTGTATCCAGAGGTGGTGCAAACAGTCACGATCCCACGCCGCGAATATGATACGCTCAAAGCTAGGTGCGCGATGCTGGAACAGGCACTCGCACACGCAGTCCCCTTGCAATCTGAGAGGGATAACTTGATGCAGCATATCCAAGCGAAGCACCATACGCCCGAGGCACCCCGGCCTCCCAAACCATTCAGTCAGGATATTGCCGAAGACACCCAACACATTCGAGAAGGACGAATCCTTCAAGACCCAGATGGCACGGTGCGCTATCTCGGCGAATCTTCAGGAGCCACATTCCTCAATCACCTGCGAGAGTACATGGCGACGGTTTTCCCACAGGCCTTCGAAAATGCATGGTCAGGTACCTCGAATCCTGATGTGACAGCTTTCATCTCGGCGCTCGGGAAATATCAAACTCACGACAGTCGTCCTCTGCTAACGTCTACGGTCAACCCTCTCATATCGGCGACAAATGATGAAGCCGCGGCGATGCTGTCGGAGTTTCGGCACTCGGCTCAGGATGGTGAAGGTACTTTTGCTTCTGGTGGTATCTATTATTGGGTTGATGTCCAGGCTGTCCTGGGTGAATATCCAGCTTATGTTGATGGTGTGAGAACTATCGAAGCGGCTCCTAATGCTCTGTTCGCTGTTGCTTGTCAACTCAACCCGAAATGCGCACCGTCCTGGGAAACCGGATTTGGACAGGCGTTCTTCGCGAGAGCAAAAAGCGTATTGGGGAATCCTCTGGACGAATCTACCATTAATGATGCAACCGTCCTGGCACTTCTAGGATTCTACCTGCTCAACAGCAATCGGCGTGATGCTGCATATATCTATGTCAGCATCGCAATGCATATTCTCATCGTCCATGGAGTTCATCGTGCTTGGTTGGTCGACGAGCAAGGCAAAAGGCTATTTTGGACCGTCTATATCCTGGATCGGTAAGCCCAGAGTCTGATGTACGAACTTCCGATTCACTGACAAGTCGCAGATGGCTGAGTTGTTTGATGGGGAGGCCGGCCCTTATCTCTGACGAGGCGATCAAATTGGACCTGCCTCGAAGTTCAAGGTACACAACATTCATCTAGAGTTCTCTGCGCGATAGGCTGACAAAGTCAAAGTGACCTGCCTCCTCCGGACGGTCTCCGTGCTAATATCGAGCTTGCCAGAATCTCAAACTACATTGTCTCAAATATCTATGACGTTGCACGGCAGAGTGAGGAACCACCCATGACGACGCTCTGCATTCAGAAGTCCCTGAGGTGGTTGAGGTCTTGGTCGGAAAATCTTCCCGCCACGGTTATAGGCACAGAGGAGAACCTGACTTGGGACCGGGCTGTTGGAGAACTGCACATGGCGCACAATCAGGTGAGGTGCTCAAACCACTCATGGGCAAATCCCGCTGACATTGCAGCTCATCATCCTCACCGTCCGACCTTTGTTGTTTCTCAACGTCAAGAGAGTCACAGCCGACACGCTCCTGAACGGTAGAACAACAGGTCATGAGATATCACACAGGCCAGAGCTCGATCTGTGTGCAGATGCGGCGAGAAGAAACATCCATCTATGGCATCGACTCTTGAACTTACAACGACCTCCAAGGCTCTCGGCTTCGGGCGTCCATTTTCTATTCAATGCTGCTCTTGCGTTACAGCTCTATCAACTTCTGGCTTATAGTAGGGCAGAAGGAGACTATGAAGACATCGGATTCGTCATTTCCACCTTGGAAGTAGACCAAAGCAGTAACAAAGAATATGCCGCCGATTGCGCCAGGGTTCTTACAGATTTCAACTCGCTCATGGCTCGGCTACAAAATATCGACCTTTCGAAAACAGCCTGCCGAGGTGGGAACGCGCGCGGCCGCATACGCGGTATACCATCTAACTCTTCAGTCATTCTCTCTCCGACCAGTGACATCCGCCCGGCAAGCTATGCGGAGTCTTGTCGCCAACACCAATCTGATTTTAGCGAAGCAAATGGCGAGCGCACACTTCCTCCGTATGATGATCGAACTTACCATGAGCTTCTGTCATGGCTTGAAAGAGACAATCTCCAGCAGAAGTTCGACTTTCCAGGTCGCTTTGGATGAATGTCCCAACGCCAGCCGAGTACTTTGAGGGGGGATATCTGGATTCTGCTGTGCGACGAGGGTCGCTCTCTGCATGACGCCATGTCGCATAATCAATCACGGTCAGTGCACCGCGCTCATCATCAACACTGGCTTTCTCCTGGCTTATGCGGACGAAATGGCTCACGGTCACGTGCTGTCAGCCAGCTTGTGATATTCCTTGGATGATCGATTGGCTTATGACTGGAGCTCATTGCCCGATACCTAAAATGGTCACAGCGCCAATGAGGACAGGCATCGCTGTAATGCCTTGTCCACACGATATATACTGACCTGACTCCCTCCAGCTCTAATGTCCCAAATAGCTGCATTGACTCAACACCTTTTACAATGGCGTCACCTCGCAACCCCATCGATCGTTTTCTTGAGGGGATCAACACCGCAGACCTCGAACTCATGTTGAATGCTTTTGCACCGGACGCTGAGGTTGTCGACGACGGAAAGAGTTTCACTGGAGATGCTATTATAGCCTTGTGCGAACATGGAATTATAGGTCACCAGGCACGAGTCAAAGTGCTGGACCAAACGGTCCGAAATGATGGCAGGACACAAACCCACATCATGATGGATGGCGATTTTCGCAAGGAGTTCGGCATCCACGAACCATTCGATTTGTTCCTTGTCGCCACAGTGAAGGGTGACAAGATAATACATCTCGACATGGGCGATATAGATCCTGATAAACCGACAATGAGGGCGGTCTACGCGTCAGTGGCCAGCCCACAGGATCCATTGTCATCGGTCCGAATTGGTCAAAAGCATCTCCCAGAGTCAAAGGAAGGATGGGTCCGAGTCAAGATGCAGGCAGTGGGTCTGAACTTTCACGACATCTTCACCTTACGAGGAATGCTGATCCATGAAACCCGATACCCAATGATTCTGGGTAACGAGGGTGCCGGATTGCTCGAGGACGGAACTGAGGTTGCCGTCTATCCAGTCATGGGTGATCCTGATTGGAAAGGGAATGAGACACTCGATCCAAAAAGACACGTATTCGGCGAACTCGTTCAAGGAACCCTTGCCGAGTACGCGATGATTCCCAGAAGAAACGCCGTGCCTAGGCCCAAAGGACTCGATGCGAAGTCGGCAAGCGTGATGGGCATTGCCTGGTTGACAGCTTATCGTATGTTGTTCACCCAGGCAAAAATCAGAGCCGGTCAAACCATTCTGGTGCAAGGGTCATCTGGTGGTAAGTACCGAACCGAACAATCTGGAGTTGCCCGGGTTATATCATGCGAGATGGTAACTAACAGATTGCAAATATTCAGGGGTGACGACAGCGCTCATTCAGCTGGGCTCTGCCGCCGGCTTCCGTGTATGGGCAACAGGCCGGACGAAGGCGAAACGCGAACTGGCCAGATCGCTTGGTGCAGAGAGTACTTTTGAGCCCGGGGCAAAACTGCCACATCTCGTTGATGCCGCGTTCGACACATCGGGAGCGTCAACAATTTCACATTCTTTGGCCTCTGTGAAGCCAGGTGGGACGATTGTGTCGTGTGGGAGACATTCAGACAGCGCCTCGCCCAACATTTCTATCGACTTGTTGCACTTGATGGTGAACCAGATTAGCTTGGTAGGGGTCTATACGGGAACGCGGGAGGAGTTCATCAACCTATTGGATTTTGTGACCACCTCTGGCATCAAGCCGCATATTGGCAAAGTCCTGCCTTTGGCGGAGGCTGCTGAAGGACTAAAGGAGATCTGGCAAGGCAAAACAAATGGGAAAGTTGTCGTTGAGATTTGAGCAAAGGAAGAGAAACGCCAAGACTTATCAACGGAGCCTGCCGGGACTAGTGCTTGATCTAGACCTCAAATGGTATAACCCAATAGCTTATCTGCTGCCACTTGTCGCTTATCTCCTGAAAGTCTTCACCGACATTGTCCGTCAAGGCCATGTACCTGGAGGGCACACCGGCAGTCAAACGGGGCGTTCACTAGTGGTCCATACAAGCCCTTACAACGTCCACACTTGCGTGTTGTTTCTTCCGAGCACTTTACACTTTCAGCAGCCTATTCCTATGGCGCTATGGACCGGCTTTCCCGTCGGTGCTGGGTTGAAGATGAAGGAGGAGACATTCACGGCGCCTCGGAAGCCACTTAAATGCAGAGCAAGGAGCCGCGACTTTGAGAGAAAACTCTCGAGCAGATTCATCATTCCCGAGGAGGTATAGTTGTGGTGTCCGCATGGTGTTTTGTGGTGGGAGATCTGACGTCTGCAGATGCTGGAGAGTGTCAACTCCCAGTACAAGGGCCAGTCCGTCCTCCTCATGATGCCCTATGAGATTCTTCTCGAGATATACAATGCTCTAGCCCACGCACCGTCTCAGATCGCGCTTTCACTATCCTGCAAACGGCTGGCCATGGTGGCACGAGATGTTCAGCTATACCTCTCGCCCACCTCGCCAAAATATGCGGGGTTTCTCCCCCGGCGTGTTTTCGATGTCCCGGAGCTCATGACCCAATTGAAGCCTTGGATGCCTGCTGAATTGCGTCTATGCAACCACTGCCTCACTAACAGACCTCGCCGTGAGGAATATTGGGATACCGTTATTGGCTGCGAAATCAGCAACTTCTGGGTACAGAAGACCGGTTGGAACTTTCACAATGCCAGCTGGCACAAGCAGGTCCACGACATCTGTCCCGCATGTCATGCCTCCTGTACTCTGAGCGACTACGTTGATTGTGACGGTTGTCGAGCCCTCGGACGCCTGGGTGACGTGGACTGGACCAGAGTATCCGACTCCTGGAGAAGGAGGACAGAAGAGGAACTACGAGCTGGAGTATTCGCAACTGGGCCTGGATGAGGCAGAACACCTGGCACTTAGTCCGACACTGCTCTTTCAGTTGATCCTCTTCCCCATTGGATCAACCAACGTCAACGATATCCCTCCCTGTTCCATACGATCTATGCCCGGAGTCCAGGTCGTCATGTCGATTGCGGCGGCCACCTTTCTCAAACTCCCGATCTGCCCAAACACATTGATAATCAGTTGCAAAGAGATATGCGATTGGTCAAAAGGAGTGGAAGGCGAGATCAACAAAGGTTGTGAGAGAAGTTCTGTCTATCCGATGACTGCCTGCTCGGGCCCCGTCGCTCACAATACCGTTTACTTAAATGCACGACATTTGAGGCCTTTTCTCAGGTGGACCAAGCTGTTCTTGGCAGAAAAGCCACCAGACACAGGTTGGTCGGTATTGCGTTCGTCCTGTCTCAAGGTCTCAAACGAAATGAGTGGCGAAACACTGTGCGATACTTGATAGCGCAAGATTGTTCCCTTGAAATGAGCCGAATAACATCCCCATCCGACAGTCTCTCGTGCGCTGTGTGAAACTTTGGGAAGCTCCCTGGGGAGATGTATCGATTGAACAACACATGCATTTCGACTCGTTGGGATGCTGGATGCTCAGGGGGAAGAATGCGATGATCCCTCTGGTTTGTGATGGCATCTCAGCCCCTTTTTAGGCCCACCAGTTGACACAGCTGAGGCTGCAACAAGCGAATGATTGTTGAGATGACCCGCCGAATTACTAATGTGATTGCGTCGAGGTTAGCTTCCCGATTGAGAGTGTACTCCTGTCTAGCTCGGTGGAGCCCTGGGGCAATGCTCTCATATTGGAAAGCGCCTGTCCCACGGGCCTTTTCGTCAGCAACACAAACGGTTTCAAGCACCTTGAAAGAGATGATTGCCGTCCTACCGCGGACACTTGCAATGATGGACGAATTTCGACAGCCCCAGCGGAGGCGGCTGGTAGGGGAAATGATTGGAGCAGAGCACCAACCAGGCTCGAGGCTGCCTCCTTTGACAACAACGACGGCCCTTACGAGGAGAATACTTAAGTTGAAGGTATCGACCTGAATCATCTCGTACAACAACCTCAGCTCCCATCTTTCTCCGAGTTCTGCAACATCTGCGTCCCCCGAGCAACATCAGCTTGATCGCCAGGATGAAATACCTCTCAGTGCTGGCTGTGCCTACACTGGCAGCACTCGTTAGTGCTCAGTCTGCACCGAACTTTCCAGTTCAAGTCGACGCCAATCTGCGTGTCGACTTTCTCAGCAGTTCGACAAGCGTTGCCCCGGCCGGCGTTCTGCTGCCCAGGGACGGTAAGGACTTTGGTCAGACCCGATATCGTACCACTTATTAACGTATTCAGACGTTCTCGACGGGCCAACGGTATATGGTCCGGCAAACGCCACGGAAGAAGCCACCTACATACTCTTCGTGGTGGACGAGGATGTCAACACAGGAAACGGTCCGCGAGTTCAGTTACTCCACTACTTCCAACCCAACCTTGTCGGCATCAACCATGAGTTATCCATACAGCCGGGGGCGCGGAATGCCACAACGGCGGTCGGTGCGGAGTATCTTACTCCCTCGCCACCTGGAGGAGATGGACCACACAGATACACATTGCTGCTCTATCCTCAACCAGAGGGATTCACCGTGCCGCAAGCATACATCTCTTTCAGTCCACCTGCCGACACGAATGCAAGATACCCTTTCAATATGTCTGGTTTCGCTGCTGCTGCCGGTCTGGGACAACCAATTGCAGCAAACTGGTTCCGTGTTGTGAATGACACCAGTTCGACCTCGACAGCCTCAAGCTCTACCAGTTCAGCCACCGAGAGTGCTGCTACAACATCAGTTGAAACGGGCACGGTCGCTTCGACTCCGACCTCCACTGGTGCGAGTACAAGTGCTAGTGCAAGTGCTAGTACAGCAGCCAATTCGGCAGCAGGACTAGATGAGGTGCGTGCTGGTGCAAGAGAATTGACCATGGGACTTGCTATGGGCATCACTGGTGCATGGTTGTGGATGCTGTAATTGGCCGAGACGATTAGGAGACGGTCCACTGCTGGTAATCAGCTTCTCTGCAACGGCCTACTCCAACGTATGCGGAGACGGAGGGCGTGCGACTGAGACAGGGACTGAGTCTGGAGGAATTGATAGAAGTTCTCT